AGGTAAGGGAAGAGAGGGCATGTGGATGCATAAATGAAGAATTTAATCTTAGTGCATGCTTACAATGTGCAGGACACTGTTCCAATACCTTTTTACGTATTAACCTGTATGGTCATCAGAACAATAGTATATTCCTATTTTACAGAAAACCCACATCTCTAATGTTTCAGAAGCAACTGTTTTTTGTTGTTTTGTTTTGTTGCCTCTCTAATGACCATTTCTCATGAGGCCACCAAGAAATTTAAGGAATGAGCCATTCTTTCCAATAGCTTCTGGACTAGGTCAAAGTTTACAGTCCTTGGTAACTAGAAGCAACTCTAACTGAAGTATAGAAGGTCAGGTTTTAGAGTCAGAAGACCTGGATTTGAGTCCAGGTCCATCATGTATATCCATGTCACTTTCTAAAATCAGTTTCCACATATGCAAAACAGGGATGATAGTTTTATCCACATTCCCCGCCCCCATACAAATTTGCCAAGCACCTAGTATTCATAAGGCTCTTTTGCAAGTGCTGGAGACACAGTAATGACCACAACAGTGCTCATCCCTATTTTTGGTCGTGCTGACATTTCCAGTGAGGACAGACAAAAGGTTCCCATTGGTGATGAGCATGATGAAGAACATAAAGTAAGATTGATAAAGAGAAAATGGCTGGGGAGCTGGTCAGGAAAGGTCCTCTCAAACCTCAATGACAGGGAGCTGGTGATATAAGGATTCGGGTAGGGGCACTCCAGGTGTAGGAAAGAGCTTATGCAAGATGCTGCAGTGGGAATGGACTTACCATGTTAGAAGCAGCCCATGTGGCTGGAGGATAGAGAGAAGGGGCAGAGCCATGGGTGAGGAGCTCAGCCAGAGGGAGACTCAGTGGGGCCTTGAGGCCACTGTAAGGCCTGAAGACTTTATTCCAATATTGACAGGAAGTCATCGGATGATTTTAAGCAGCAGAGAAGTACGCTCTTATTTATACTTTTAAATGCTCCCTCTGGCTGCTCTGTGGAAAATGGATTGCAAGTGGCTGAGAGCAAAACCAAGGAGACTTGTTATGAATAAAATGAGTGATGGGAAAATTAAATGAGGTAACAAGTAAAATTTGTAAAGAATTTTCAAAGTACAAATAAAACAATAGCGATTAATAGATCAATTGATACTCATCAAACTAAGGCCGATAAGAACATATCAATTAATAGCCCAAAAGACAAGGAAGAGGAGGTGAAGTGCTTCTCTTAATTTTAGGTTCCTTGTCAATCAAGCAGTATATATTCCCTGGATGTTTGTGAAGATAACGTGTCTAGTTTAGTTCCTGGCTCACAGTAAATGCTCAGCCAAACATTACTCTCCTGTCCTGCATGATTCTAAAAAAAAAAATCAGTTGAGGTGTACATAGTCTGAGAATTCAGCAAGGCTAAACCTATGGGTTGAAGTAAAAAATTAGAATGGAAATTAGAGGCTTCATACCTAATAGTCTGATGCTACACAGTGATAATTCTACATACACCCTGGGTTTACAAAGCACATTTTATACACACACCTCCGATGCAAAATATGGTTTGCAGTCAGTCTCAGTACCTAATATTAATGGCCTTTTAATGCAAGCTAAATTCTTTACAAAGAGTGCCATGAAATCCCAGCCTACGCACCTTACCCTTTCTGACCACTTTGTCATAATCCTATTTCCTTTGCTTTAGCTCTTTTCTAAGGTATCAGCTCACTCTTGTGTCCTGAAATACTTGAATATTTTAATATAATTCTCCCTTTTTGATGGACAGATTTATTTTCTATCATCTTTAATCAAATTTCCAGAGATAGGATGTAAGTAGTTATGTTAATGAGATTTATGTTTGGTTCTTTTGCAAAAGAACCCTTTGGATCAGTGCTGTGTCAATCAAAGTCATCAGAATGATGGTCATCGAATGCAGTCCTAATCACTCAAGTCTAAACTCCCTTGAGACACACAAGCCAGTGCAGTTCACATGTCCCTATCTAATAATTTTCTTTTGTGCTACTTATTTTTAATTCATCATAACTAATTAAATTGGTTAATTGTGTTCATGTCTAGAATGTAAAGTATTGAAAGCCGGATGTTAGCTGGGATTTATTAAAGAGTAAACAGTTCATGCTTTATATGAATAACAAGATATGATCATTTCTAGAATGCTCTTTTTTAAAAAAAAATACTTCTACTACTGTGTGCATTGTATCCCAGATAATGCTCGGAATAACAGGCTTTTATTTTTATTTGTTATTTGTTTCAATAGATTTCAATAGGTTTTTGGGGAACAGGTGGTGTTTCATTTCATGAATAAGTTCTTTAGTGGTGATTTCTGAGATTTTGGTACATCCATCACCTGAGCAGTGTACACTGTACCCCATGTGTAGTCTTTTTTTTTCCTCGCCACCTCGACCCTTTCTCGAGTCCCCAAAGTCCAATGTATCATTCTTATTCATTTGCATCCTCATAGCTTAGCTTCCACATATGAGTGAGAACATATGATGCTTAGTTTTCCATTCCTGAGTTGCTTCACTTAAGAGTAATAATCTCCACTTCCATCCAGGTTGCTGCAAATGCCATTATTTCATTCTTTTTTATGTCTGAGGAGTATTGCATGGTATATATATACACCACATTTTCTTTATCCATGAGTTGATTTATGGGCATTTGGGCTGGTTCCATCTTTTTTGCAATTGCAAATTGTGCTGTTATAAACATGTATGTGCAAGTATCTTTTTCATATAACAACTTATTTTCCTCTAGATAGATACCTAGTAGTGAGATTGCTGGATTAAATGGTAGATCTAGTTTTAGTTCTTTAAGGAATCTCCACACCATTTTCTATAGTGACAACAGGCTTTTTGAGTAAATACTTACTTACCTCCATACCTGGAATCTACAAGATAAATCTAATTAACATCTGACTGTTAAGGCTTCACTCAGTAGACCTCAAAACAATGGATGAATTCTTGAATGATGATGAAAATTTACTCTGAGGTTATGTAAAACCTTAGAGTCTGAGGAGACTACACGCTTATCCAAAATCTGTCAATAATTTATTTTCTTACCTTAAATTTATCTTAACCCTGTGAGTCTCAAACTCTTTTGGGTATCAGAATCACCTGGAGAACTTGATAGATTTATGCATGCCTGCACCCTATCCAACTTCAAAGAGCCTCAGTGTTGCTTAATAGTGCCTCAGGTGATTCTGATACACACCAAAGTTTGAGAATCACTGACTTGACCTTTTGAGATGTTAATCTCCCTAAAAAGAAATATCCCATTTGTGTGAGTTTTAAAGGAACAGCAGGATATGGGCATTAGACATAGGAAATTACTGAAAACCATTGTTGCCAACCATAGGTATGTGGAGGTAACTTATAGTTCTCACCAACAACAGTATATCCAGTAGGTAGCATTTATGGAGCCTGGTGTCATGGGTATCTAATCCCTCCTTTGGAATGGAATAGGAATTGCATGTTGCCCCCCCTGTTCTTGCAAGGATAAGAATCAAGAATCCTCCTTAAATAAATTTCTGTTGAGGAGTTTTCCCATGACCCAACCGGGACTTCCCAGTCTCCAGGTTTCCCAGCAGTGCCCAACCAATAAACCTGCCAATTAAGCAGCTGAATATCATTATTTCGAATGTAATTACAGACAGTAATTATGAGCTTGTAAATGCCTCCCATGAATGAAGCCCTTTTCCCAAACCAACTCAGCTGCTTTTCTTTGGAAAATGGAAAGTAATCCTATCCCTTGCCTCACCCCAAGTGCAGCCTCACTTAGAAGAAACCCCCTTCTTGCTGGCCCAAGGAATATGCCAAGCAAGCTTTAATAGGCTGCACATTAAGGGGAATGTCCTCTTGGAGTGGAGCCCCTTTCAGGGTCTCTCATCCAAGCCCTGTTTCCCTAAGGAGTAATGACTACCCAGTTTGACTGTATTTCTTCATTTCTGTGGGGTCAAGGGAATTAATATCAAATTTTAGGAATTTCTGCAGAAAAATCAAATCTTAAAGCTTTTCAAAACAGTGTAAGAACTTTAACATTATTTAAATTAAGCTTTGTGAGATGCAATTTGCTGAGGATTTAGTCTCTCTAAAAATAAAGCAGACGCCATAAAAAACATGCATGGTGAGAAGACTTTTCATGTCAGTAGAAATAAAATCAATCTCATTCGGCCCAGAATTAACCCTTGCACTCAGTAACTTTATAGATAGCTCATGAAAACCTCAAGCCCTTATGGATAATGGTACTTAAATGAGTTATATATGGATATGTTTAGCTCAAAATGCAATACAATCTTTCAAGATCTCAATCTGTTGTTGCCTTTTAATGGATAGTGAGAATAAGTGCCAGTAATTGCACCAGTAGCTAGCACAGTTGAAAGTGGTAAAAGTCCAGATCTTTCTGGTTTACCATGCAATAAATAATGCCATGTAAACTTTGAAAAGGAAGAATATGTTTATTTAATGTACCTAATACAATGCTTAGCACAGCCCTTTGCATAGAGTGAATTTTCAGAGCTCTTCTCTGAATAAGATCAAATGTTACACCCAAAAGCTAGTACAGTACACAGTTTTTAAAAGGAGACTTTCTGCTTACTGGCCAAATTAAGCTATTTCAAGTCACAGCATTTCCATTTACTATGACAAAGGAATCGTGTCGATTATTACTTTGTTACTATTGTTCATGGTTTTCTCCTGGAGTAGAAATACAGTGTGTATGGGCATTGGAATTTTCTCATAGTAATATGAAAACCCAGAAGGGTAAATGCAACTTTCAAAAGTGACTGAGAGCAATTTACACTTTTAGAAAAACCCTCCTAACCAACATTAGCTAAAGACATCTGGTAGCTTTCGAGAGGGTGCTTATGAAAACCTAAAGCAGTAACCCTCATGTTAAATATTTTAAAATTCATTGAAAAGTCAGCTTAAAATTCACTGTGCTATGCACAGGTCAGGATGGACTTGTATCTAAGGACCAGGGATATGGGTATCCATGGTCTTTCTGGTAATTTCAGTGTTAAAAAATATTCAGATATAAATTATAGTCTTTTAATCACCATATGTGATCACTTTAAAAAGACTGTATAAACTCTGAAAAGGAGGACTCACATATTTATATTATATTTTTTCTAATTTTGACAAACAGTAGCTTAAGAATTTCTGAGAATATGGATGACCAGATGGGTTATGTGTTTTTAATGTGTACAACATGCATACAAATATGTATACATATTAGCTTGCTCATTTGTGCTCTCTATATCCATGTACAGTAAAGATATTTAAGGAAGTAAAATTTGCCACCAGGGCAGGTTAGTGTCAGAAATTTTTCATCATATTATTACATTTTTTCCCATTTTCTGTAGGCCAGATCCTCAAGTCCCTATAAATTGAATTAAATATATATATATTTATGTATAATATACATAAATAATTAACCAGCTGTACTCCAACCAAAGAGATTTTAAGCTCATCATCATTCTATCATTTGGGCTCTTAATTTGTCCCACAGCTAACGCGCTATCTGCTTTCCTTCATCTGTTATTGCCAAGATGGGACTATATTGAAGCCCTTTATAAAACTTCTATTTGTAAGATCCCGTTTTTGTTTTTGTTTTTCTTTTTCTTTTTGTAGGCCATCAGGGGCAGAAGGTGGTAAAAACAGAGTTGCCACTGTCGGTGTGGCCACGTGAGCACGTCCCACTTAAGTAACAGGGTGTCCCTCAGGTCAGCTTGTGATAAAACCCAAGTCAAACAAGGCTGAATCCTGGGTGTTTTATGTCCTAAGGATCTGAAAAGTGTTCACGGCCAGCCCTGACCCTCAAGACCTCAAATGGTCATCTAAGCAGTAACATAAATTGGTGTGTAAACTTGCTCCTGGGCCATTGCTGTGGAAGTGGGGCTGGCGAAAGTACAGCCTGGCCATGCAGGAACTGATGTCTTTCTAGGCATTTCAAATAAGGGGGAATGTGTTGATTACTCCATCAGGCAATCCAACTGCAGTGGCTAAATGCCCAAGGCTGACAAATTTTGCATCTTATCACTGCCGTCAAGTGGCATGTGAATATTGTCAGCCCAAAAGAATTGAGAAACAACTTGCCTTCCAAAACTCTGCATCTCAGCAAAATCTTGACAATGCCAACAGCTCGTCATCTCGTGTTTTTCAACCCTTTAGAAAATGGCCTTACAGCCTGGGACAAACCGAAGCACTGTCCAGACCGAGAACACGACTGGAAGCTAGTAGGAATGTCTGAAGCCTGCCTACATAGGAAGAGCCATTCAGAGAGGCGTAGCACGTTGAAAAATGAACAGTCATCGCCACATCTCATCCAGGCCACTTGGACTAGCTCGATATTCCATCTGGACCATGATGATGTGAACGACCAGAGTGTCTCGAGTGCCCAGACCTTCCAAACAGAGGAGAAGAAATGTAAAGGTAACCAGATTTTTATTAGCCCATTATCACGTATTTCAACAAGGAAAAAAAAAAATCCTTCTGTAGTTGTGTACTCCGTGGTCTACATTTCTCTTCCAACGTGTGGTGTCCACGTGTTTTCTCCAACTGTTCTTTTACTAGGTGTCATCATCTTCAAATCTTCTTTTAAACGTAAATAAATAAGGGGAATCCAAAGAAAGGCAGTTCATTTCAGTTTCACGTTGTGCTGGGACACTTGGGGTGAAGACATTTTTACTTCTCTAATTAATGGAGGGGTTGTTCCTTTTGGCTCTAATCCTATTCTTGGGTCTGAGTAGAAACAGGCATCGCTGTATTTTCATGACGTCTTGCTTTAAAGTGTGTCTGTGCATGTGTACATTTCTTTTCCCAATTGTGCCAGTAGCTAATGGGATCTCAGTGCCTACCTCTAACCTAGACAATTCATGCTCCAACGAGAGGTTTTAAGTTGTTGTCTTCTACTCATTAAATCCTTGTGTCATCATCCTGAAAGGAGAGATTATGGTGTTAGGAGGTTGTCACCTCATAAGGCAAAAAAAAACCTTAAACTGGCCTAAGTTCCTGATTGCATTAGATTTAACTGTTCTTTACCTCAGGTCGCCTCCACCCTGACAGATGTCTTTCTGCTGATCGCTTTATTGTCTTAGGGCTCCCCAAAATCTTTGCATCTTAAATCAATTTGTGTCTTTCAATGTCCAAGAGATCAATCTCTATCTTTAAATGTCTAAGTTCATGTAATTTCCCATTCTTTTTCAGTTTAGTCGGGTTTTTTTTAAGTTAAGTTGGGGGGGTGTCTATTTAGTTTTTCTTTAAGGATCATGACTCATGGTAAAGTTTTAAATTGTGTTTTGAAAATCTCGCAATCCTATACCAATATATAATAATGAAAGTTTGCAAAGACTCCCATGTATAAGCCATGAAGGACTTTTACAGCTTTTCCACTTTGAACATATACACGTGATTATATTTATCCTTCTTGCAAAAGAACTGGTCTTTTAGGTCTTCTGACAATACTTTGAAAGCTCCTGAAAACTACCAGTTTACCTCGGAAATTGAGTGTTTCAGTTGGAAATAGAGTTATTCAGAAGTAATAGTGAAATAGCATTATGAGCTCTGATTTGAGTGCAGTCAAAACTATACATGTCCCTTTGGAAACGTTTGTATTTGGACTCTCTCTCATTTGAGAAATTGAGATGGCTATTTAGAAAAAAGCAAACTAAAGTTTTTCAAAGGAGTCAGGATGTGGGACATGTGTGTGTGTGCATGTGTACACGTGTGTGTGTGCGTTAAATACATTTGCTTGTAATACAATTGAGATTTCGTCTTAGCATAAGTGACCAGATTATATCTCCAAATTTTATGGGCTGGTATTAAAGCCATGTCGGTTTACAGTGAAATGCCAACAGGAAACTCTAGCATCCTTGTGATCTAATGTCATAAACCCAGTTTGATTCTCTCACAATTGATACCCATATTCATTCATATATTCGTTCATGGAGTCCATCTATGTCTCTATCATTTATAATAAATCTTGGCCTTACATATCTAGAGTTCCCAACACTACACATTTCAGTTTGTTGGCCATCTTAAAAGCAAGAGGAAACAGTCTCTATTTGGATACACAATGCTTAGTAGAGTGGCTAAGACCACAAATATTTGAGACTGACCTATTTGAGCTAGAATCCTAGCCCTTCTACTTTCTGTCCTTGAGCAAACTTATATGATTGTTAGTACAATTAAGTAAGATGATGTATTGAAGCATTTAGCAAAGTATCTGGCTTATAGGTCTCTCCGAATAGCAGCTATCGTTATTGTTATGATCATTATTATTAGCTATGCATCATTAAATCATATACATACCTTGAACTGTGCTGTGAGCCTGGTAAGGAATGAAGCAAGAGGAGGATTTCAGATGGATGTGGGGTGGGACATGAGATTTCAGGAGATTACAGTTGATAATTCATTCTGCATTCATTCAGCTCTTTCACTGAAAGTCAGAGATGTAATAGGAAAATATAATTAAATTATTAAAGTCCTTCCCCAAGAGTCTAATATTAACAGGAAAACAACTAAAATGACTGTCCTGTGTTTTCCAGAGTAACCACCAGGGTCCACCTTGACATAGACATGAGGCAATGCCTTGGTTCAGCATGAAAATGCCACCAGGAAACCTATGTCATCGTGGCCCAAGAAACTTATAAACTAAATATCATTCATTCAAAATGGGCACGTGTATTGAGTCAGGCAGCAGTGAGTCCAGGACAGCAATAAAATTAGGCAGCCCTTCCTTATAGAGTTGGTTCTTCTCCATCTGCTCTGTTTGTCAGCTCTATATTGTTACTATGAAGAGAGTTCTATTTTGATGTTTGTTCATGTTGGGCATTTATTTCCTAGCTGGCTGTCTATCCCTCAAGCATGCTTGACATCTCAGTCCTGGGCTAGTAATCCATGCATTCGCTCATCAGTGCTTACCTAGTATCTACTGTATAGAGGATGTCCTGGATGTCCAAGCATAAGAAAATGGCAGCAGGGCCAAAAGGACATCCAACTAGCCCTATCCCAAGGACCCCAAGTAGAAACAATAAGAACAAAATAGTCCTGAGGATACAAAAGTTAATTCTGCACAACAGGATCCAAAGAACAAATTGAATGCTTGAAGTTGTGCAGTGAGCCCGTCTGCCAGATCAATCATCTAGCAGGCTAGACCAGTGCACCTCTAAGTGTGGTCTGGGGACTGGGACCGTTCTGCAAAGTGGTCATTACTATTTCTATGGATGCAAATACAGAAACTGAGAGTAAACTTTAGAAACATTTTTTTTTTTTTTTGAGACGGAGTTTCACTCTTGTTTCATTGCTGGAGCGCAATGACGCGATCTCGGCTCACCGCAACCTCTGCCTCCTGGGTTCAGGCAATTCTCCTGCCTCAACCTCCTCAGTAGCTGGGATTACAGGCACACGCCACCATGCCCAGATAATGTTTTGTATTTTTAGTAGAGACGGGGTTTCACCATGTTGACCAGGATGGTCTCAATCTCCTGACCTCGTGATCCACCTGCCTCGGCCTCCCAAAGTGCTGGGATTACAGGCTTGAGCCACCACACCCGGCCTAGAAACTTTTATAGCAATTTGGCATTGCCACTGGCATTCAAATGTATGATCGGTGAATTCATCTCACTGAACAGGATAAAGACAGTTAGTTGGGTGTTGTCAAACTTGCCTGGTCAGTCACGTGTGGCTTGAACTGTGTAAAAGTCTTGTGCAGTAGAATCATGTTTTGGTCCATAATGAACCAGATTTTTAAAATAGTCTTTCACTTCAAATAGTTTGGAAGTCACTGATTTATATTTGTAGTAAAATTATATTGTTTCTTTAGGCTTATTTTTGGTAGCTATCTAAGATTTGGGTTTTCATTTTGTTCTGGATACTGTTTTTTTTTTTTTTTTTTTTTTTTTTTTTTTTTTTTTTTTTTTGAGACGGAGTCTTGCTCTGTTTCCCAGGATGGAGTACAGCACCATGATCTTGGCTTACTGCAACCTCCACCTCCCAGGTTCAAGCAATTCTCCTGCCTCAGCCTCCTGAGTAGCTGGGATTACAGGCACCCACCACCATGCCCAGCTAATTTTCATAGAGACAGGATTTCACCATGTTGGCCAGGCTGGTCTCGAACTTCTGACCTTAGGTGATCCGCCCGCCTCAGCCTCCCAAAGTGGTGGGATTACAGGTGTGAGCCACTGCAACTGGCCTTACTGCCTTTATTTTAATCTGCATATACCTATACTTCTGTCTGCTGCAGGTACCCTAAATGAATTAACTGGTAACACATTTAATTAGAATGAGAGCTCTGGAGCCCTTACATTCTGTCACAGGGCCCACAATTTGAATCTGCTGGAGTAGCAGACACTATTTTAATCAGGAGCAAGTGGAGCAAGTGACCCCTTCCCTTCTGCAACTCACCCCACCCACCCACACCCGCTCTTTCCATGCCACACTTCTTGTTAGGCATTAAAAGCACTTTAATCACGATTTGAACTGATTGCTCACCATGAGGACCACATCCTACTCCCTGTTCTCCTCCTCCCTTCCCAGTCTGAGATGATATATCCAGTGCTACTGAAAAGTGTGGTGGCACCAACCAGTGGCACTAGCAGAACCTCGAGTTTTGTAGACATAAGAATCTCAGGCCCCACCCAGACTACTAGTTGGAAGCTCTAGAGAGGGATGCAGCCATCTATGTTGCCGCCAGCCCAGTGTAGATTCTTAATACCTGGATATCATGACCTGTTTGAGAATACGCTTAAAAAACTTGTAGCACAGGAAAAGGTCTGCCACCTGGTGGGCACTTGGGGAGTGTGCATGTTTCTTCCCTTACTGACTGCATGTGGGTAGCCACTTGAGTCCCTCCATTCCTGGTTGGGCCTTTCTTTGGGCCTGGCTTATCTCAATTCCCAGCTGGAAGGTCTGATTAGTCACTGCCTTATAGCAGCTCCCCCTGGGTCTTGAGCCCCTCTGAGAACCCCACACTGTTTGACCGGGGCCCTGATCCTCCCTTGAATTCTTACAAGGCTTCTCCCCTCTGCCCTCTCATGCCCTGCTGTACTTCTCTCTGGGAACCCCAGGGTCCCCCCAGTCCCACAAGGATGGGCTCCGGACAGATGCGTGGACCCCTGAAGTTGGACCCAACCAGCCCTGCTGAACCCAGGCAGTCAGGTCTCTATACTTTGATGTCAATCAGGGACCTTCCTGAAACACTGAAACCCAAGGGAAGAAACAAGGCAGGGACTCACCCACTCCCTGGTGGACTCAGAAAAAGGAGAGCAGCAATCAGTGATCTCACGGAAATGTCTCTGTGCTTAATATTTTTAAAACTGATTCTCAGATACCCAGGAAGGCAAGAGGGAATGAGTCAAAATAATTTTAAGAACAACTTATTTTCTCTCATTATAAGAGCCTATATGTTCACGGTAGAAAAAAAGTTCTACAAATTTTTTAAATTGCAAATAATTTTTTAAAATTGGTTGAAGTTCTATCCCCCAAGAGTAAGCATTATAGATTGTTATTATATTTTGGTCTTTTCTCTATGTATGTCTATTTTTTATAGACATACAAAATATGGGGTCATATCAGGCATGCCCTTTTAACCTGCTTTTAATGCCTAACAATATATCATGAACATTTTCCTACATCATTAAATGTTCTTCTGAGTCCTGACTTTCATTGGCTATAGATTATTCTTGCTTGTAGATGTATCATAATTTATTAAATCAGTCCTCAAGAATTAGACAAGTAATTTTTTAAACAATATCATATGCCAGCAAAAGGGAAAACTATTAACTCATGCTTTTCATAAAGATAAAAAAATGAATCAAATCAGTGATGACAATTTCAAATGATGTACCATCCTCACTTACCAACATAACGAAGTGTTCCCAAAGTTGGAGACATACATGCAAGTCATTGTGTGCATTATAATCCTTCACATTAGACATTCACATTTTCAGCAGATGATTGCTATCTTTGTCCTTAAGTAAAACAGAAAGATATCTGCAGGTGAATGAGTATTTTAGAAGGCGGAGGATTAAAAATCTTGAGCCCTTCCGCCGGTACCATCATCTGCTCCATCCATCTCTGCTCTCCACTCTGCCCCACTCACCATACATCAGGATCTGCAGTCCCAGCTGAGAGTGCCAGTGATTCATATACCTCAAGGGCACTCTGGGAACGTTAGCAATCAACATGAAAACAATGGCTCTCTCCCCACTTCTGGCATATGTCAGATAGCTGTGTGATTTGGCACTTCAAAGGCAGGGAAGAGTACCCCATAAGTATACTGGGGCAGACAGAAATAGAAGGTCAAGGAGAAAAAAAAGCTACCAGTGAGAGTGGAGTGAAGAAAAAACAAAAAACTGGAAACAGAGCAATGTCAAAGGAAGGTGGATATCAGAAATTCACTGAGATGCAGCAGAGAGCAGGGGATGGACCACCCTGTGTTTTCCAAGGCCAACAGAACAGTGTCTGTCATGCCAAAAGATGCAGATGAGCCCCACCATACCTCTCATCATAATCTGTCCCAGGGAAACACACAGGGCACAAGTCTGTTCAAGTGTTCTTTGAATCTTAGTTTTTGTTACTGATTAACTGGAAGCAATCTGAATGTCTGTCCACTGGGGAATGTTCCAATAAATTGTGGTAGGTCCAAAGCATTCACTAGAAAAATTAAAAACAGATGTTTTTAAAAGTAGTGATTTTAAGAATGCTTAATGAAAGTAAGCACACACTAAGAATTGTGTAATCTCATTTACAGCATTAAAAATCTTTATAATTGTGTGTTTACAAGTGTATAGAAAAAGTTCCCAGATACACATCAAACTTGTTTCAGTAGATACCGTAAAAAGTGAAATAAGGATTAACTCCATATGCAACCACATTCAAAATTCTTTACAAAGAATGTATTAATGAATATTCGTGAATATATTAATGAATAATGATATGTGTAATTTGTTTAATGTTATAATCATATGCTTCACAGTTAGGCTTAAGTTGATTTCTTGCTGTTTAAATGATCAGCTCAGGGAAAATTTTTTAACCTCTGTAACCCTCAGTCAACTTAGTTTTAAACAGGGGTATAATATCTAGCTTTCAGATTTGTGTAAAGATGAAAGATATTTCAATGAAGGTTATTTTTAAAAAAAAAGATGAAAAGCCAGGTGCGGTGGCTCACGCCTGTAATCCCAGCACTTTGGGAGGCTGAGGCAGGTGGATCACTTGAGGTCAGGAGTTCGAGACCAGCCTGGCCAACAAGGTGAAACCTTGTCTCCACTAAAAATACAAAAAAAAAAAAAAAAAAAAATTAGCTGGGTGTGGTGCTTTGCACCTGTAATTCCAGCTACTCAGGAGGCTGAGGCAGGAGACATGCTTGAACCCAGGAGGCAGAGATTGCAGTGAGCTGAGATTGCACCACTGCACTCCAGCCTGGGCAACAGAGCGAGACTGTCTCAAAAAACAAAAAGAAAAAGAAAAGAAAAAAGATGAAAGGTAATATGTGTAAAGCACCCAACATAGAGCCTAGCACTTAGGAGAAACTAAACAATGATAACTGTTCTTAGAATATAAACACACCTCTTAGCCTTGTGCCCACCTCCTCCAGTTTTGCCACCCTTTCCGACCTTGAAATACATTGAACTATATAAAAATAAATGAAAGGAAGCAAAACAAAACGTCATGTACACAGCTCTAGTAGAGGCATAAACAGTTGAAAAAAGAGTCCATAGCAACCCAACCAAAGTATTTTTTTCTTTCAGAGTCTTTCAAAATTTTAAAATTTAAATAAGAAATCAAGGGGAAAAGGAAGTCACTAAACTGGAATTCCAACTCAGGCAATCTGGCTACAGGGTCAGACCTCTCTCTACTGTTATAATCCCCTATGACTCTAAGGGGTAAGAATGTTCCAGATCCAAAGGAAAGAATTTG